TTGTTCACCCATGTAACTGCATTTTAATCTTTGTCGAAAAACTCTCGACAAGAGAGAATTTTGGACAGTTAGGAAATGCTAAATCCATGTGTCGCGCAACTATCGTTTTCGTTCATGCTTCAACACCTCCAAATGTCAACAAAAGCGAAACTGAATCTACCAACAAATGTTTTACACACTTCCATATGCATGCTCACAGACATATATAAGTCTTAAAAGGGATCAGAAAAATTCAAACAAAAAATTAAACAAAAGTTTGAGCAGCAAAGTCGTACTCGATGAACGTGCAAGCAAGTCTTCTGGCCAGCCGGAGTCGAACCGTATATTCTTATCACTGGTACCTCGCTCACCTTCCCACCTGAATACAGTAATTCCACACCAAACTCAGACCCACTGAGAATTTCAAAAAAATTAAACAGTCGCAAAAAAAAATAAGGGGGGGAAAGTATTTACAAACAGAAGGATTTCAATTGAAAATCCGAAAAAAAAAAAAAAGAAAAGAAAAATGAAATGTCCAGAATAATTCCAAACAATTCGATTGAAAATACCATGGAAAGTACTGTAAGAAATGTCAAGTTCATGAACAGGAGGCGCCATGTAGTAGTCGATTGAAACAATTCGGACGCTAAAGAATTTGGGCTGAGAACTCTCCATTTTTTTCCTTTTTTGATTTTTGATTCCCACTTTTCTGAAGCTTTTTCAGTTAATTTCAATCAGTTTTATGTTGAATTATGTTGGAGGGGGAGAGAGAGAAGGGGGCAGACGGTCCTGCACTTGTCTGGAAAGCGGCACCGGATTTGAACAGTTGTGTGTGTGTGTGTGTGTGTGTGTGTGTGTGAGAGAGAGAGAGAGAGAGTTCAATTTGGCGCCGAACAGCGAGGTAGGTTTTATACTGTATTCGCCGGAGATGGAAAAGAAGGGGATCCGTAGCTTGAAAGCTTTGCATTTCATGGTCAAAGTAACTGACATATACTAATTGATTTTTTCTTTTTTTCTTTTTTTCTCTTTTTTGTTTAGCGGCAATTAGCAAAAAGTTTTTTTCAATATGGGGATTGATTTTTGGGACTTGATAAACGGGTTACTAATTTGGCACTTCTTTTCTACGGTTTGAAAATTGTTATTTGCGGTTCAAAACATTAAATTGAACGTCCAAATCAGGCGGCTACACCTTAATTGAACGCCCAGGTCGGGCGCCCCAGGATTGTACGAACGCCTGGAACGGGCGTTCATACACGCCATGGGCGCCCGACTTGGGCGTTCTACCCTGTATGTGCGAGAAAAAAAAAAAAAAAACCCTACAAATCGATTTGTAGGGCTTTTTAACATGAAATTGGTTCCGTAGTCGACCTACCCAATGCATATTACACATAAAGGAGTCGAAATTACGTCAAAAAATCGAAGCCCAACCCTTCTTCAAGCTTGATTTCGAATTTTTGGATTTTTTTTTTTTTGCTATTTGCAGTTTGGGGGTTTTTTGGGTTTTTTGGGAAGTTTTGGGGTTTTAGACAGATAAAGAGTTTTTTTGTTATGAACCGTAAATAGCAATTTTCAAACCATAAAAAACATTTCACTTTAAGAATATGGTTTGCAATAATTCACTCTTTACTCTTCCTACATCTCTCTAGGAAAAAGATTTCTAAAGCTTTTATATTAGAAATCTTCCTGAAATGCATCTTGTTGAGGCGATTTACAAAGAAAAATGAGTACATCGGATAAGGATCGAGATACACAATACAAAATCTTGTTCGTTTTCGTTTTATAAATCTGGAAAAGGTAGTTCACGACCAAAACAACACCCAAAATGGGCGCGTACAAGTCCAATCCACGTCCAAGTTGTGCACCGACAACCTATGTTCGGTTTCTTTTTTTTCTTTTTTATTTATTTATTATTATACTACTTTAACTTTATTTTATTTTTTAAGGTTGAGCAATAAAATTCATCTACATTTGAAGTTGATCATAGTGAGTATTTTGTAGTAACACAATTATTTAACTCGAATAATGAGTTGATAGATTGGGCGAGAGCAGCCGCCAAGGACCTTGGGGTGAAATTGGTGACGCGCAGTAGTCCTAAGAATAGAATATATCTTACTTCCGATCTATTAAGGGAAAGCGAGTAACTTGAACTAACATAGATATGGAATATAAGAGATAGCATGGCAAAAAAAATGTCATTGTAAATTTTACTTGGTTGGAGCCGAACACTACATGGATAGATGGGAACTTAAAATATTATATTAGAAGTATAATCATGATCTCGTATATTTGTGGGGGCATGGGTCTAGCAAAATGACTCAAGAGGATATGGACATTACTCGAATGTTGGCAAATAGTCATGTGTCGCTGAAGAATATTTTAATATATTTGAAAGACAAAACTTGGTAGAAGATGTGTAGGGATGGCAATGGAGCGGGGTACCGTCGAAAAAGGGTAATACCATAACTATTACCATTTAATATATAGCTCAAACCAAAACTATATCAAACTCATTTAAGAAGTTTATCAGAATACCAGAACCATTATCACCAATATCTCGATACTCATTGATACAATGTACTATTTAAATTATGGTAATATGAAATAATTTATGGTCGAATAATTTCAAGTACCTCTCATAAAAAAAACATAAAAAAAAAGAGAGATACAAATTTTAAGTAAATTATATAAAATAAAATAAGACACTTTACAAAAATTGATGTTCCAATACAACAAAATGATGATTAAAATCGTAATTTTAATACATGATATTGAAAAAATATATTTTGAAGATGAAACTTACGACAAACAATTGACTAGAATGATACGAAACTTCTTATGTACTTTAGTATTTCATTAGGTAATAAAGTTATATTCTCCCTAGGCTATTTAATATTTTATTCCCCCAATTTCTTAGATCAGCCGCCTCTCTCTTCAAAACCCTTTCCCCCAATTACTTAGATCCAGTTATTGGCGCCGCTTGAACGAAAACCAAAAAAGTTTCCGATGTATGGGAATTAATCTGTTTCTTACTCCCCGCATTTTTCAATTGCCCCGCAATATCAGGTATCAAATCTCCCTCTCTCGGTTTGACTCCTTTTGTGTTTATTTACTTCATTTTTTTCTTCTGCAATTTCTGTAGTAGTATTCAACATATTTGCGCAGCGTATGTACTGGATTATATTTATTGTACTTCACTATAATTTGGTGAAACTGATCTTTTACATGTCGTCTTCAATTGGGGTTCTTATATTTATGTTTTTCGTTTTGGTTCAGTCGACATGTTAAATGTGATGGGCATTATTATGTCTTTGTTAATTTCATGAAAATTGGTGAAATTTCGTCAAACACTTTGTTTTCTCTGTGGGTGTGTTTGTTTTTTTCCAGATTGCAGCCTTTAATAGCTTTTGGACGTTGATTTGGTGATATTGGGGTTTATTTTATGGCTATTGATTATGACATTGGTGATATATCACCAGAAGAAGAGGTATCTCCTTATATTGCTGTTTAGCATGTTTTGAAGCTGAAAACTTGTGATTCTGATGTGAGACTGTATATTTTCCATTTATCTTGACTGAGGCTGATTAGCTATATCCACTTAGTTGGCATATGTGTGTTATAATAATCATTACAAGTTTCCATAGTTGAAATTACTATTTCCTATAAAACAAGCAATCAATAATACTTGTCTACTTATGTTGTACATTTGCATTCACAGGGTAAGTTCTGAATGTTCAAAGTTTGAAGCTTTCACTAATTTCTAATTCTATTAACATAAAACGAAATAAAGATGATGCAAGAATACATCAAATAGTGCCTCGTTGACTATGAAGATTATTTATTTTTCAGAATCCAATAATTGTGAATATCATTCTTGTAGCCTGTAGGTTTCGGATAAGGAATTTGGCTTAGCTTTCATTTCTATTTTATTGAAGTTTAGGATGACTGGTGTACTTATTTTGGTTGCTTTTTAGATGTTGCAAGGTTAATATATAAATAAATGGTTAAGTTTGAAATCGATGTTTTCTTAACCAATAAGCATACTGGCATAACTGAATGCTCTTTGTTTTTCATTCTTTATGTTTACTTATGTGAACGTGTCTAGTTTTGAGATATATCTACTATTTATCTTGTTTGTGTTCTTTGTGTTGAATTATGAGCGACTTTCGTTTGCAATTAACAATATTTTCAGAAATCCAAACAAGAATGAGTGAGTGAATCTGATTAAGATAGTTTTGGTTACTCCAAGAATCTACAGAGCCAAGCAATACGGTAACCTTTTATATATATCATCCTTGTGGACTTGATGTTTTATATAAACTCACATTTTTTGTTATAGAAATTTTTGTAAGTTAACATTACAAACTATATATATAGATGGGAGGGACACACATGAAATTTTACCGTAAAAAAGATGAGTTAACCAATCTCTTTGTAAAGATTAGAATTATCCATAAAATTGTTCATTTGCTATTTACTGACCGGTTGAATATGTTCAATCTTTCTAATGAAATAAATGTATCCGTTGTGGTTAATATTTTAATTTATTTAATTTATGTGCTGATAGATCTAAATTCTTACTATGTTTTTCGATTATAGAAGTGAAATATTGATTGCTGTTAATTATTTATAGTGTGATAATTATTTTGCAGTAATGGGAAGCGCATATAGGCAGTCGATTATACAATTGAAGATTGCTTGGCTGCAATATTTGGTATTGATCTCTTACTAAAAGCTCATTGGTTTAGATTTTTTGTTATTTGAAATCCACTAATATTTGATAATTTTAATAGGTTACTATGGATGCATAAACAGTATCGAAGACAATTTTGCATCAGTTTTATGGCCAAGTCGTACTATGGTATGCAATTTTAAGATTGCTTTCAAGTGTAGTGTCATTAATTAAATCTTAGAAGTTTCTAAATGTAAGAATTGAAAAGTTATTGGTGTGTTAGTTTTTGGAGAGATTTTATGTTCTAGATGCTGGAATACTTGTTACTAATTTTTTGTAATTTTGAACCAGTGAAATTAATAAATTAATTTTAAGAACAAGTTTTAGCATGCAAGTACTGTGTAAATGGTTTCTGTTTGTATGTATGGATTATGTTGGGATGATTGAAGTGTTTCTTACTATTTATAAGATGAGAATAAAAGCGTCATTAACAATTTATGACGAATAAAGGTTTCAACATATTAAGACACTTGTTAAACTTCTTGAGACAATTGAAAGTGTCATTATACCCATATAAAAGGACGTTTATCAGCGTCACAAAAATAGGTAGTTATAGTTGGTGGGAATTAATAATGTGACGCTTATAGGCATCATAAAATCTATCTATTTGCGACGACAAAGCCGTCGTAATAGTGTAGATTTGGAGACGCTGGTTCCCGTCACTAAAAGCTATTATGACGGCCACCTATGTGACGCTTTTGTTCGGCGTCACAAAATCCGAAGCGTCACAATAACTTAATGTAGTGACGATTTAGGGCGACACGAAAGCCAATATTTCTAGTAGTGATGTTTATATATTTTTTTTTTGAAATAATGAGTTTTTCAAAGACCACTATGGTGGTGGGAGTTACATATATCAAGTGATGGCAAGATTTGCTCATTGAAAAAATCTACAAGCACCACTAAATAAATGGATGACTATTACGGATTTGGGAGTGGTCATAGCAACATGTTACAATGCTTTGGGGTTGTCGACTTC